AAGAGCCATGGGCTACAGCTTGGAAGCACCCAAGGTTCGTGATTCTAGTTGTTTTGTATATTTTTATTGTTTTGATTGTCACTGTGCTAAGTCCATACCAGGTTCGTTCTAAGTACTGATTAGAAGATCTTGCTCTCTGGGGCCAGCAGGTGGCATAATAGTTAAGACACTGGACTCCCACCTGACTGACCAGAGTTCGAGTCCCAGACCTGGTGGCTTGAAAGTCATGCCAGGTATGTGTGTGTACATGCCCAAAATCCCAGGAGGAGAATGGAGAAGAAGGGATTGTGGTGTGGCCACCCCCGCAGTGGGGTGAGTTCTCACTTTCTCTCTTACTCTCTCTGTCTCCCTGGAAAGCACATGCACCCTATGGCAAAAATCTTAAATATATATATATATATATATATATACACACACACACACACACACACACATATATTTCACTCTCTTATACTTAGAGGCTGGCCTAATGGGGTTCTGAAAAGCAGCATTTGTGAAGCTTCATGGACATTGGTGCTGCACTGGGGAGGGGCATGTAGGTAGGTGATGGTGACTTCTCAGAGCTTTAGATGCCCTGATAATTCCCATCATCCCCTTACAATGTCATCCTGCAAACCTACAATCCATGTGTGGGAAGTGTGCCTACTAAACAAACTCAGTGTTGCCCAGTGCCCCCTTTCGACAGGATTGTGGCTCCTGGACCCTGTAGGTGAGGCAGTTCTGAGTCCCTTACTGTACAGAGGATTCACAGTCCCATCCTAGGCTCCTCCTTAACGGAGAAGTTTGTAGTGTCTGTTAACATCACTCTTTTCGGTACCAGCAGACACGCTCAGACCATGTGGCTGGGTGTAGCCCCTCCTCCTCCCTCTCCTCTCCATCCTGGACTATACCCTACCAAAAGAAAGAGGAAGAATCAACAACACAGGACTGGGAGTGCTGGCGCCGCCTCAGCAGGGAGCAAGCAGCACTCCCCAGCTCAGAGCTGCTGCTGAGGACAGAAGGCAGGTCCAGTGCTTCGTGAGTCTGTGCATATGTATTCCTGTCGGAGATCCTCCTCTGCTAAGGACTTCGTGACAAACTAGCCACAAATGTGTACTGTGCCAATCTAGCTAAGTCAGATAGCTATACTGAGCCTGGCCTGGCCTACTGCCCAAAGTCCACCAAAGAGTGTGTGTTTTTTCCTTGGTGGCAAAATGTGCCCCTTGGGTAAGCAATCTTGTCTCTTTTGCAACCTCGAGCCCAACCATCTTAGGGAGCCGGGAGCCCTTCCATCCCATGCCAGGCGCTGCAGCTCACCACTAATGTTGAGCAGATGTGTAAAGAAGAAGGACTGTTTGTGGAAGTCCTCTATGGCGAGGACAATGGGCCCATCAAGGCTGCTTCTCAGGGTCTTCTTGGAGCCACTTTTGTCTGCGATGAGGGACTCGAGCATGGTCCGCACCATGTACAGCTTGAAAAGAAAGAAAGGTGGGAAGGTCAGGAGCTGGCTCTCCTCCAGGGGGGAAGGTTGCTTTGTGCTGCATTTATTTTTAACTTTTTTCTTTAGATATCTGCTCTTAAAAAGCATCGTCTTAAGGTAGCACCAGTTCAAGGTTGGAGAAGACAATCTGGAACTGTGAAACCCTTCAAGAGGGGGAAGGCCCAGCCTGGGAAGGGCATTCTGCCCAGGGCCCTGTGGCCCTCTTGGGTCGGTAGACCTGGCGGCACCAGGTAGTTCCAGCCCAGGGAGAGGTTCCTGCCCGCTCTGCTCAGCCAAGTGCGTGGGCATCAGAGGTAGAACCTCATTGCTCATCACTCTAGAGTCACTTCCTGCTTTCCCAGAAGGCCGTGGTAGCACCATAGGTGTAGAACTGGACTGGGAATCAAAAGACCAGGGCTCGAGGCCAGGCACTGCTGCTGAGTTGCTGTGTGACCTTAGGCAACAAAGTCCCCACTCTGGGCCTCAGTTGTCTTATCAAACAAAAGGGAGCTGGACCAGGTAGTTTCCATACCGGTCCCTTTCAGCTGTAACATTCTAAGGAACTGTGAAACCGAGTAAAACCAGAATGAGCACCCCCTCCCATATCTCAAGCATCTGACCCTCCGCGTTTGGAATGCATTAGTGAGCGATGGCGCCCTCTGGTGGCATGAACTGCATTGCGCAGCCTGCCGAAATCCTGGGTGGAAAGCAGATTAAGGGTGGTACTTACACAGGAGGCTACTAGGCATTTAACTCCTGCTTACAGAGTGCCTTAAGTGCAAAGGGCGCAAGTGCGGTAGGGCGGTTCTCTTTGCTAATCTAGATCTTTCCACACCATTTGTCTTTGAATCTTAGGGCTGGAAGGGGCCTTGAGAAGCCAGGCTAGTCCACTCCTGCTGCCTCCTCGAGCAGGGTACCCAAACCAACCCAGCCAGGCGGTGTGATACCAGGGATCGGCAGCCTCTTCGGCCCTGTGTGCCACCAGTGGGGTGAAACAAAGCCCTCGGGGACCACTGGCAGGCCTACGACATAGATAGGAGAGAAGGAAGAGGGAATGGGAGGGCAGGAGAGACAGGGAAGAGGGAGAGAGAGAAAGAGAGAGAGAGAGAAAAGCAAGAGGTATTGTATACGGTGGGAAAGCCCCCGCGACACTAGGGGTCACTTCTGAGATGCTCCAACCTCCCAACAACCACACACGTCTCGGCTGCCTGGGGGTCTTCTCTAGGACCTCGCCCACGGCGCGCCTGGTCAGGCCACGCAGCCACAGAGACGCGAGACACACCAGCCCTACCGCAGGGCTGTCTCCAATGCTGCAGGGCAACCGTGGCTGCTGGCTGGCTAGACAGTCCACCGTCTGCAGCCCTCGCTGGGCACAACTCGTCATCCCTAGAACCAAGACGCATGTTTCTAATGGCGTCCTTTCGGGCCCTCAAAGACAGGATTCATCGAGTCCAGTCTGCTGTGGGTGCTGGCTGAGGGGGATCACATCCTAGCTCCTGGAAAACTGGCTTCTTCCGTGAGGATGAGCTCTCCCCTTCTGCTTTAACAGAGAAACATCTCTGTCCCGACTCTGGGAGATGCCTGTGTCTAACCGTGTTCCCAAGGGCCATACGAGAGCCCTGGGTGGGAGTCAGGAGACCTGGGTTCTTGTCTCACCTCCACCTGGGACTCACCCTGTGACTTGGACAAGTCACTTCCCCTCTCTGAACCTCAGTTTCCCCAGCTGGAAAATAGGGCAAGGGACAACTTTGTCACTCAGAGCTCTTCAGCTCTGGCTGTCTAGGAGTCCACCGGCTCTGTCTGTGCCACCTAATGTGGCTGGGTGGGGGCTGGGAGACTTCACTGATGGTGACCCTCCCCCTCACATTGTCAACACGAGATTCTGGCTCTGTCTCCCTCAGTTTCTCTCTGTTCACTCTGCCTGTTGCATGCGCTCTCTCTCTCTCTCTCTCTCTCTCCCTCTCGTCCTCCTGCCCGGTTTCTCTTGGGCCTTATCTGTCTCCTCCTCACCTAAGCCTCAGGACTTGCACCACCGGGGCGGGGCGTACTAGGCTGGAAAAGCCTCTGACCCTTGACATTCCACAGAGCTGTTCACAGATCCTCCTTGGGATCTTCTACACCCAGCAGGTGGGACTGTGCAAACTGCCCTGAGGGGGCAGTGAAGCCACAGGAAGTTCTGCTGACCCCACTGAGAAGTCGCCTTGCCCCTCCCGCCCCCACCCTCCTGCCCAGACACAGACACACACAGAGGGAGAGGGGTCAGGAGGTAGGCCTCAGGTGACCCTTCTCAGACCACGCAGAGCGGACAGAAGCTTAAAGACCATCTGCAGCAGTTCCCAGCCAGGGACTCCTGGGGCCTGAAGCTGCAACAGGACCCATCTGCTTGTTGGATGCCCCAGAATGCCTACCAAAGGTGACGAGGATTTAGCTGAGCTGTCCAGATTATTTACCTGTAATTTTATGACTACTTTGGATACACTACTATTTGTTGTCTAAAGGCTCTGGTTGGTGACTCTGAATATTTCTGATTACTAGGCTTTCTTTAAAGGGCCGAGGGCTTTTGATATTTGTGCATTTGAGGGATGTGGGGAATAAGAAAACAGGTGTTATGTCAGTAACACAATTTCACGCAAAGTCTTCACTTTACAGAAAGATGATCAGAGCTCAGAAAGGTCAAGATGCTTTCCCAAGATCACACAGCAAGTCAGAGGCAGAACGTGTGAATTTCCAAGCTGGGATGTTACTATAGGAAAAAGGGCCAGGGTTTATTAAAGAGGGATAGGATAGATGCATATATTCCATTGTAAAGTCCTCCTGCACTTAGTCATGGGCTAGGAGGGAGCCAGGCAGGGTGGATATGGTATTATCCCCACTGGCCAGATTAAACAACTGAGGCACAGGGAGAATGTGTAACGTGCCCAAGGTCACACGGGTGTCTAGGACTAGAATCCAGGTCTCCTGAATCTTAAGCCAGTGGTCCTCCTTCCTTTATCAAAACAAGATAGTACAACAGAATAAGACCAGAGCCGCTACCCAACCCTGTCCCTCCTGACGAGACCCCCAGTCCCGCTGCCCCAGGGTCCAGCCATGAAGAGCTACCAAGGCCAAGCTGGCTTCTGAGCCAATCACGCTGGCCTGGGCCTAGAACCACTTACCTGGGTGCTGGAAGGCCCCACGGCGCGCCGGGGCACCTTGATGTCAAATCCGCCCTTAGGGTCCTTCTCCCCTCTCAAGCATGGGTCATTGGGGGGCTCTCGGCCTCCCTCCCAGTCACAGATGGTTTTCCGAATTGCCTGCAGGACACTAGGAAAGAAGAACTGAGACTCAGACCAGGTCTAGACCGGGAAGGAGGGACTGCGAGCCTGTATTTCTAGGTCCCACGGTGTCCTTGGCCTCCCAGTGTTGGAACTGGTCGCGTGCTGGTGAAGCACATTCCTGGACCCTCACCCACCAGAGATGCTGGTTTAAGAACAGTTTTAGGAGCCGGCAGGTGGCATGGTAATTAAGGTGCTAGACTCTCGCTTGGTAGACTGTAGTTTGAGTCCTGGACCTGGTGGCTGGCTTTCTCACTTTCCTTCTCTCCTTCTATCTCTCTCTGATCAAATTAAAATAATAATAATAAATAAAATAAGCCTTTGGGGGGGGGGAGAACAGATTTAATGTGCAGTCGCTAATCTGCATTTAACAAACAACCTATGAATCTGATGCCGTCTGGATGAGAACTCAGCTCTGAGCCCACGATGTGGGAGAAGACTTGGGTGAGGCAGGATGGTGACTTTTCCTTTTGGTTATCAGGGAGTCTCATCAGTCCAATGAAATCTCTGTATATTCGAAGTTTTAATAAGAGCTTACACTTGTTGCTATGTGTTTAAGTCTACACATGGACTATGCCATGTCATCACCTGAAGTAGGTACCATTATCCCCTTCATTCAAAAATGAGGAACACTGAGGTTGGGGGAAGGTAAGAAGCTTGACTAAGTCCGCACTGCTAGATGGTGGTGGATTTGAGCTTCAAACCAGAGATGGAGGCTTAATTCATCCCAAACATCTAGCTTCTTAAAGCAGACCTACTGGAACATACTGGAACTTTCTAGAAGGAACTGTGTGTATTCATATGCCAACGTGGAAGCTGACCAAGCTGAGACTATGTATTAGATTATTAGAATATCTCTAATACGTACCTAGCACCCCTTTTTATGATAAAGAGCATTTACATGAGAGAGAAAGAGAACAGTGCCCTCAAAAGGGTCTTGTAACTCTGCAATCCCCTTTCGCCAGCCCTAGCGCACCCTTGCACCTAGCGTGTGCTAGAGAGTTGGTGAAAGGGGATCATGGCTGCCTTTAGGCTGACCCAGAGATTTGAACCCGTGGTCAGCCACGGGCTCATGCCTCACAGGGCACATGCCTCATCACTGAGCCACGGTAGCTGGGCTGAGCAGCCCTTATTTTCAATGTGCCAGTGGCAAGGGCCATCCGAAAACTTACCTGATGAGGACATTCTTCTTCTTCCGCACTGCCTGCCTCAGCGGCTCACGCAGTGTCACCTGGGCAAAGTCCTGAAGGGCGGCGTAGATGGTGTTCCTGATGGCCTGGTTGAACACGCTCTCCATCCTACCCATGAGCACCTGCAGGCCTTTGATCATGGCGATCACCTGGCAGGCAGAGATCAGGTTAGGCTCACCACAGCCATCCGGCCCCCACCCTCCGCCACGTCGCAGGGAGGGGCTTGTGTGAGATGGGCAGAAGCACCAGGTCAGTGCCAGTTCATGACCAGGGCACCATGTGTGGACGGGCACATGCACACTCCGCTGCCTTCACCAGGAAAGTCTTGCTACGGAACAGATGTGCCAGCTCATCTGAACACAGCAGCTCGTGACAAAGCTGATCCCCATCCTGGCGTGAGTGCCCAGTCTCGTTGCTGACTAGTGACAAGAGACAGCCAGTCCACAGAGCACGTTGCACTCCAGCTTGGGGAGGCCTCTCCACGCACCGGACACCCACAGCCCATGCCAAGTAGAACTTTCTTAACTAACATTTCCTAAGGAATTTTTATAATCTTTGTTTTTAAATAATTTGGCCAGTTCCTGTTGGAGTCCATTAGGGAAAAACGTATCTTACAGAAGTTTTGGGGAGGAAACCTCTGTTCTGTCTGCCTCCTCCTCCCTGCCCCTTCACTCGCTCATCTGTTAGCGAGATGGGGAAAGAAACAAGGGTCTGCGATGAGAGCAGCCTGGCCCGGTCCTGCTCTCTCTTTTGGGACCTGCCGGCAGGTCCGTCTTCCCCTGCAGTCATCACCCCTTCTCCCCATATCCTGAGGAATCAGACACGGAGTTATGAGACTGTTTGCCTGTTACCACATGAGTAACTTTAATGGGATGTGGTAGGAATAGGGATGTGTGGCCTTGAGTGGATGCCACATTTTCTAGTCTAGCTTTACTAGCGTCGTTTCTGATCCTTCAACCTCGATCAGCCTCAAGTGTTAATTTCCTGACTGATCGCAATTCAGAGGGGAAAGCATGTGTCACATCAGCCTCCTCACAGCCCCACACGGACACACCCATCAGTGTGCTCGAGTCTATGCAGCAGACTGAAGCACGGGGGGTGGGCAGCACAGCCCAGCAGGACCTGCAGGCCCCATGGCTGGTCCCAGGGGCCTGGCGACATCTGGGGAAGCTTGCTGCAGGCTGGCTGTGTTTCCTTCTAAGAGTTCTACAGGTTGTTAGCAGTGGACACACTAAGAAGTCGGGGGCCACGCAGAGCAATGGCAAGTGTGATTAGCATTTTTCTCCTGTCCGGAAGTATACGTCTGGGTCTCAGTCTTTAAAGAGCAGCTTGGAGATACGCTGGAGAAAAACTCGAACCTCCTCCATTTGGATGATCTTTAACTTTTCGAAGCTCATCTATTAATTTCATCCACTCTCTTATTCAATAATTACTTTTTGATTCTCAACAATAACCTTAGGATGAGACAAAGATGAGATTATTTGTTCCATTTTATAAATGAGGAAGTGGAAGCTGAAAGGGACGAAGGGATCAGGAGGCTCACGACGAGGATCCCGGTCTCGACTTCTGAACTCGCTGTCACATGCTCATGAAAAAGGCAGCTGCCACTCACAACCTAGTACGGATGAGCATTCCTCTCAAGTAAGAATGTCATTTTGAAATAAAAAAATAATTCTAAATATTACAAAGCAGGAAGAGTCCTCCCTCCAGAAGTCAGTACTGTTCATGGATTGATATACATGAATGTAGGTATGATGTCCTTCAACTTTGAGCAAATACGCAAAAGAAATTTAATTTTAGTGTAAATGGGATTTTGAGATTTTACATGCTGATTTTTACTTTCTTTTTCTTTAACCTTAACAATGTACTGTGCATAGCATTCCACATCACCACATCCTATTTTTTTTTTAAGACGTTTTTGCTATAGGGTGCGTGCGCTCACCAGACAGAGCAGAGAGAGACAGAGGGACAGAAAGTGAGAAATCACCCCCTGGGGGGATGGCCATGCCGCAATCCCTTCTCCTCCATTCTCCTCTCAGGATCTTGTGCCCAGCGTGAGTTTTAAGCCACCGGGTCCAGGACTCGAACCGAAGTCGACTACATGGGAGTCCAGCGACATAGCCATTATGCTAACTGCTGGTCCCAAATTTTATTTTTTTTAGTCACCACATCCTTTTTAATGATGTCATAGTATTCAACAACATGGTTGTATCTGAATCCATTTACTTGGTCCCATATCGAAGGACTTTACATTGTTTCACATGTTTTGGGATTATAAACAATACCGTGATAAACATCCACCCACACACATGTCTCTGCACAGGTGGCTTGTTTTCCTGGGATATATTGCCAAAAGAACTACTGGGCCAAAGAATATGCACATGAAAATGTAAATAAGTAACTCCACGGGGCCAGCGTACCCTCACGGAGAGCCTGTCAATGGAGAAGGGACACCCGACCTATCTGAGAAAGTCCGATTCCCACAGTGCAGCCTGTCACGGCATCACCGGTCTCCCCAGTCTTTGCTCTCCTGATTGGTAAACGCTGTTACCTCATCTTTGTTCCAGTCTGTAGTTCTCTGACCATTAGTTTAGTCATCTTTTACATTGTTTTTAACCACCTGATTTTCTTTTGTTTCTTCTTTTGGTTTCTTTTTGTCTATTTTTCTAGTGGAGTAAAGAGTCTCCTTTTGATGTTTAAGACGAGAATGAGTTTCTAACCAATTGTGAATAACGACTCTTGACGGCGATTAATCCGGATGGGAGAAGGGGACAGGACGGACATACTAGGAGGACCAATGCTGTCACCTTCCTTGGAACCACTTCTGGAGTCACAAGGAGTCACCCCGGGGAGAGGGAGAAGAGACGCAGGGAGGCAGCACTTACCTCAACGAAGGCAAACTTTTCCTCGCTGGTGTAATTGTAGCGCGTGGCTCTCTCGTACTCCTCCGCCGTGCCAGGGCAGTCCTTATTGCAGAACTTGTCTGTGGGGTGAACCAGCTTCCAGGAGTACTGGGAGGAGGGGGACAATACAAACGTCCATCAAACGAGGCATGCAGACAAATGTGCTGCATCCACACGGTGGAATATTACTCAGTCATAAAAAGGGAACAAGTACTGACTCGAGCTATAAAATAGATGAACTTTGAAAACAGGGAAATACAAAATGCAGAGAAAATAAAAGAAATCAGAGCAAAAGAGCACATATAATGTGATTCCATTTATATGAAATATCCAGAAATTCGTAGACATGGAAAGTAGATTGCTTAGGGCTTGGGGGGCAGGGGTGTGATAACAGGGACTTTCTTTTCGAAGTGATGAAAATGTTCTAAACTTGACTGTGGTTATACAACTCTGTGAATATACTAAGAACTAGCGAGTCTATACTTTATGTGGGTACATGGTGTAGTATGAATGATATCTACATTAAGTTGCTGGGAATAAAAAGGGGCTGAGAAGAGGCAGGGGCAGATTCGAGGGATGAGAGGTCCTGCGAAGCCCTCTGCCCAGGGGACACCTACCACCTCCATGACGTGGGCGCTCCACTTGGATAACAGCTGCAGGCCCCGCAGGGCCAGGTCGAAGAGCTCGCGGTACTCCTCATCTGACTTCTGGCTGTCCAGCCCCGAGCCTGTCACCACCTAGGAACAGGGACCATCACGCTCGCCTTCTACAGGCCTGGCACTTCTGTAATGATTTCACTGATGCCCCACACACACTGCAGGGAAGAGCCATTACTAGACTCTGGGCAGAGAAGCTCGGGCTCAGACCAGTGCCTCACGGAAGGCTGAGGTTTCTGGTTCCGGTGGTGTGCGGACAAAGCCCCACTGTAACCACCCTGCGATACTGCAGATCACAGGCAGTGGCTTTTGAACCTGTTTGGCTGTTGCACAGTAAGAGGTATACCTTGGGGCTGGCAGGTGGCATGGTGGTTAAGGTGCTGTTCCTGCATGACTGACTGTGGTTTGAGTCCCGGAGCTGGAGGCTTGGTTTCTCTCTTTCTCTCTGGTCAAATTAAGTAATAATGATAAATAAAATTAATTAAAGTAATTCTTTTTTTTTTTTTTTAAAGAACCCTGGCTAAATCGTGGCTCTGAGGAAAAAAACGATTACCTTTCTGTGAGCCTCTGGTCACAGTGTTCTCATCAGCCAGTGGATATATAACTTTGCTGCATGCATTTTTTTTTTTTTTGAGAGTTTTTGCTATAGGGCACGTGCGCTCACCAGAAAGACAGAGAAAGACAGACAGAAAATGAGAAATGACCCCTGGGGGGATGGCTATACCACAATCCCTTCTCCTCCATTCTCCTCTCAGGATCTTGGGCATGCATGCACACGCGCCCGGCATGATTTTAAGCCACCGGGTCCGAGACTTAAACCACGGTCGACTACATGGGAGTTCAGCGACATAGCCATTACACTAACTGCTGGTCCCAATGCATGTTTTCTTTTAAAGACGTCATTGTGATATTGTTGATTTATTACCAGTAACTCATAGTCAATAGCACCATAATGCTAGTGCTATTTACTTATTTTAATTTGACCAGAGAGGGACACAGCAAAAGAGAGAGAGAGAGACAGGGAAAGTGAGAAAGCAAGCCACCAGGTCCAGGCCTCAAACCGTGGTTGGCCATGTGGGAGTCCAGCACCCTTAACCACCATGCTACCTGTCAGCCCCAATAAATGAATTCTTTAAAAAATAAATTGCACCTAGACAGTGACTCAGGAACACAGAGCTATACAGAGATATTAAATTTATGTATGTATGTGACAACAAATTTGTTAAATAATCTCCCTCTAATACATGGGATTCTCTCTGATCTTCTATTTTGTATAAAAATGTTAATTACAAACCACTAAATTGATTTCATAATTCATGTAGTGGATGTGACCCACGGAATGAAAAGCGCTGGTATAGACACTCTTCTGTCTGCGTGTGTAAAAGTCCTTGGAGGAATATCATAGGTACGTATGTGTGTATATGAACAAATGTAACGTACATACATGGGTTTCTACGTATACACAGCTGGTCCTCATTACTCGCGACTTCTTGTTTCAGCGCTCGCACTATAAACAAGTATCTTTTTAGTGGCGTATTTAGTCCCACGCGTTCCACAGTTTTGTGCCTTTTTTTCCCTGGGGATTTCACAATTTAAAATGGCCCCCAAGCACAGGGCTGACATACCATCTAGTGTTTCCACATGCCAGAAAGCGGTGACATGCCTTATGGAAAAAATATGTGCTTTAGATAAGCTTAATTCAGAAATACATTACAGTGCTATTGAGTATGAGTTACTGGTAATAAATCAACAATATCATAATGGCGTCTTTGAAGGAAAACATGTATGAAGCGAAGCTATATATGGGCCAGCTGATGCGAACATTGTGACCAGAGGCTCACAGAAACCAAGTGTTTTCTTCCTCAGAGCCAGGATTTAGTATTTGCTAATTCAGTCTACGGCCACTTTACAAACCCACTCTGAATAAAAAGAATCAATTGTGTATATATATATATATATATATATATACACATACATACATATACATACATACATATATATACACATACATACATACATACATATATATATATATATATAAGTGCTTACTTAAAAAAATATCTTTGGCTAGACTCAATCTTAGACCACGTAAAAGCTTGACTAGGGGGATTAGTAAGTAGTGTGATGATTACGGGGCTGAACTCCCACGTAGTTGACCGTGGTTCGAGTTCTGGACCAGGTGGCTTGAAACTAACACTGGGTGCATGTGTGCATGCCCAAACTCCTGGGAGGAGAATGAAGGAGAAGGGAACTGTGGGATGGCCATCCCCCCCGGGGAGTGATTTCTTGCTTTCTGTCGCTCTGGTGAGCACATGTGCCCTAAAGCAAAATCTCTCTCAAAAAAAAAAAAAGTGCTTGATGAGGAACTATGGAGACTTAGCACTCATGAGCACTTCTTCCTTGCAGCTTTAGTCCAGGTGATTGGTACATATGGTTAAGAATAAATGCTATGGGTTTGGGCTTGACCTTGGCCCATGGGGGTTACTAGTCTAAAGGCCCATCATGCCTCTGTGAGGCCGTCTCCATTTTAAATACGTTGTCCTCCAATCACAATGTGTTCTGGATTCGCATTTGAAAATCATTACTGGGCAGCCACTGGCATGGTGATTAGGGTGGCTGGATCCCACACAGTCAATCGCAATTCGAATCCTGGTCCCGGTAGCTTTAGAAACACGCTGGGTATGTGTGCGTGCATGTCCAAAATCCTGAAAGGAGGAAGAGATGGAGGAGAAGGGATTGCAGTGTGACCATCTCCATAGGAGGTTCTTACTTTCTCTATCTGTCTGTCTCTCTCGCCCTGCCCGCAGTGCGAGTACACATGTCCTCTGACAAACTAAAAAAATAAAGAAAAAGCAAAGCATGATCACTACGGTCACTAGCCACGTGGTGGGGCTAGTGAGCAAACATGGGAAGTGCAGTCATTCAGTGCGAGGTAATAATGGAATTCAAACAAGGCCTTGTGTCTAAGAGAGCGACATGTATTAATATATATTAGAGAAGTGTACATATGTTGGGACCGGCTGGTGGCTTGGCAGTTAAAGCACTGAACTCCCACATGGCCAACTGAGATCTGAGTCCTGGACCTGGCAGCTTGCTTTCTCTCTTTCTCTCTATCTAGTCAAATTAAAAAGTAATGATAATAAAATTAAATAAATAATTCTCTAAAAAAGTATATGTGGGAAGAGACTATATACACACAAATATTAATCATAGTTGGTTCTGAGGTGGTAGGATTTTACATAATTGATTTTCTCTCTTTTTATCTGAGTGTTGTGTATTAATCATTTTCTGTAGCAGAAAAAACATTCAATGAAACATAATGATTGGGATTATAGCAGATTCTTACAGCCTTCTTCTGTCCAAATTGTATTTGTTTTTTTTATTTTACTTTGTGTTTTTTTTTTTGTTTGTTTGTTTAAGAGAGGTTTTTGCTATAGGGCACATGCACTCACCGGCTTGGCAAAGGGAGACAGAAAGTGAGAAATCACCCCCTTCTCCTCCAGTCTCCTCTTGGGATCTTGGGCATGCATGTACACATGCTTGGCATGAGTTTAAGCCACCGGGTCTAGGACTTGAACCGTGGTCAACTATGTGGGAGTCCAGCAACGTAACCATTACACCATCTGCAGCTCCCTGATTTTTTTTTTAAATGATCATTTATCACTGTAGTTTAAAATATGTACATGGTATTGTTGTGAACATTATGTTCAGAATCCTGAGTCTCTCACCATCCAGGGCACGGATGGTTTGGGTCACGTACGGGCAGAACTAACAAGGACGGGGTCCTCACTACCTGCCAGGCATAACACACTCTAGCCTCACAGCGTTTAACCGTCTCCGTGACCTTCCATGGCAGTCAGTATTGTTACATGTCCCAGGTGAGAAAACGGAGGTGCAGAAGTGCAAATAACTCGCGAAGCGCGGTGGCAGAACCAGACTTCGCCCGGCTCCAGGTGGCTCTACAATCCATGCTCTAAGCCCTCTGCCTTCCTGCCTCGGGGGCCTGTCCCCTCACTCCTACCCTCCATCATCCCCCATGTTCCCGTTCTTTCCTGGCTGCGCCTTCCCCTCGTGGCCCTGCTGCTCACCTCGCTGTTGCTGTAGCGAGCGAGTTCCGAGATGAAGCGGATGTGGTCATCCCGGATCTGCACCATCTGCTCGCAGATGTTGTACTGGGGGCTGATGCTGCTCTGGGTGCACGTCCACCTGGGTAGAAATGCGCGGCATTGGAGAGGGTCCCGGCCCCACGTGACCAGGTGAGGCAGGCTCCTTCCTCACTACCAGCTGCTGGTGCTCAGCCAACGCGACTGCTCCCCTGGGTGAAACCACAGGGTACCCCAGGCACCTCCGCAAGAAAGCCCGCTGGAAACACCATGGAGAGGACCGCAGGCCGAGTGGGGCAGTCCTTCCTTCTCCTCCAAGAGCCAGGCAGACCCCTTCACATACCTGGCCCACAATACTTACCAGCTGCACAGGGCGGGCAGGAGGGGGTCTTTAGGGTGATAAAGGGTGGAATTCAAGCTGAGAAGAAGCAAGGTGGGCAGCACCCCCCAGAGCTACCTATGCCCAACAGCGCTGTGGCTTGGGAGACAGGGCCTTGGGGAAACCCAAGTGGGACTGTGCCTCTTTTCCGGCAGTGACCTGGCAACACGGATGCAGCATGGGGAGAAGCCAGGGCCATTCTAAGACCACAGCTGGCACATGCTTCTCTGCCACATTGCTTTGCCTTCCTCCTTCCCTCTCCTCCTCTCTCTCACCACCCTCTCTCCTCCTTATTTTCTTCCTCCTCAATTCTTTTTGGAAAGGTGTCATATGAAAATCCATCCTGAATTGGAGAGGAAATAAATGAAAACCTTCACTCTTGTGCTCCATGCAAAAAAAAAAAAAAAAAAAAGGCACCTCCCTGCACTTTCTTCTGAGCCAGTAGATAGGCTAAGCATGAACAGCAAACAAGGAAAAAACACCTCCTGGGCAGAATTCGACATTTCAAAAGGAGCCCTGCAGTGGTTCTTACAAACACATGAGAATGGCAGTGGCCTTCCCTGGCTTCTACCTTGGTGGTATTGTGCGTTGCTGTGTAGGGCCAAATCGTACCATCACTCAAACCTCAAACCTCTGACACTACCCCGGTCACATCACAGCCTTGACCCAGCCACGCTCTGGAGACCCAGAAGTCACACAGGGAGAAGTGAGGAAACGAGCTCAGCGTTCTCAGTCCACACTTCCCCGTGGAAGCTCTGTGTGCGCTGGCGACAGAGGGGTGCGATGAAAGGAAACTCGCTCTCTCTGGTGAGACTCATTTGTGGGGTCTCCTGGCGGGGCCACTCAAGGCCCTCTTTTGTGTATTTTTGAGACACTAACACCCTCGCCCTTGACTAAGGACAGCAGGTCCCCACTGTGCGGCAAAAGCATATTCACTTGGCTTTGGTTGAGATGCACACAAAGGGCACCCCTTCAACAGCCTGGGAGATCAGAGGGGTGGCCAAGCTGCAGCCAGATGCCCCCGCCCCTGCTCTGGGAGTCATGAACACCAGACTTTAGCTTTTGTCACCTACGAGCCACCTACAGTGAGGCTGTCAACCCCCTTCACAGCTGGAACCATCCACACTGTACACGTAAGGACATACTTACTGCACAGTCACAAAACCTGGGGCAAGACCAGGGTGGCGAACAACAGTACCATCTCTCTCCACCTGGCCACTGTGTGCCGGCCTCGCCTCCCCACTCCTCAATGAGGGAAGGAGGAGGACGCCTGCTGTCCCACGGGGACGTGAACCGGACAAGGGGCGTGGCTGTGCTCTGCGCCTTTTTAAACCTGGCTGCAAAGGGCGATACAAAAGGGCTCAGAGCACCCTCCGCAGCTCCCCGCTGGTGGCCGGCACCAGTGCCCTGACGAAATCCACCTGCCCAGGGCTCTGGGGAGAGAGGAGGGGCTGAACTGGCCCCTCGGCTCCCTGCCCAGGCTGGGCGTCCTCACGGGAGCCGAGAGACATTACGGCAGGCACTCACTTGGACTTGTTCTCTTCATAGTGAGCACTGGTCTTAATGTATCTGGCCAGCTCTATCTGCATGTCGCCGAAAAGGGGAACCACCTGCAGCTGCTGCAAAGGAAGCAAACACAGCGCGTGAGATGCCAAGGGAGGGTGGGGAGGCTGCCTTCGCCCCAGGGGAGGCGGGGGTCTGGAGGCCGACCCGTAGTTTCTGCTTCTGATGGTGCTACCTTGCGACTCTGTGACCGAAGAGAGTCCCAGCCAGTATACAGGTCTTCCCTTGCTTCCAAACAACTCTTTGTGAGTGACTGAGCCCAGAGACTCAAAGCGACTTGTCCGAGGTTACCCAGCCAGCCGAACAGATAAAGTCCTAGGATCAGATGGCTGCCTCCCAGCGCGGGATCCGCTGTGTAATTTTCCCTAGCTTAGAGGACCCTTGCTGTCCCATACTCTGGACCAGGAGCAGGTATCTGTGTGCCACTGACTGCATGAGGCCTTCTGAGAAAGCCCATGACCTGAAAGTGACTAAAACCATAATACCTAACACCAGGGGGGCAGAAAAGTCCCAATTAAGACCAGAGCAAATAGAGAGGAGGATGGTGTTGGCTGTCTGCTTCTTGAGCTCTTGGTTCTGGGCAAAGCATTTAAAGGAGAATCAGGGCCAGCAGGTGATGTGGTGGTTAAGGTGCTGGACTCCCACATGGTTGACTGCAGACCAGACCTGGTGGCTTGAAACTCACGCCAGGCACATGTGCGTGCGTGCTCAACATCCTGGGAGGAGAATGGAGAAGGGATTGCCGTGTGGCCATTTCCCCAGAAGGTGATTTCTTGCTCTCTATGTCTCTGTATCTCTGTGACTCTCTGGAGAGCACATGCACCCTATAGCAAAAAATACCTCAAAAAAACCCCAAACAACTCAGTTATCTCAAGTTATTCAATAGCCCGGTGAAGTCAGTAGCATTATTATAGATGGAAAACCGAAGGCTTAGATAGCTTAAATGATTTTTCACAAAGTCAGTTGGCTAGAATTCAAGGAGCTAGGATGATCACCTGGGCTCTGACGGATCTAGGTAATCCCACCGAATCCTCAAAGAAACCCTATAGAATAGACCCTTAGCGGTTGTGCTTTTTAAACTGGGGAACTCCATTTCAGGCGTTATCAACTCCCAAGGTCGTCTAGCTCTCCAGTGGCGGGGCCAGATTTGAGCCTGGGCCTGGGTGTGCAGAGGTTGTCATTTTCCATTTTACCCCCATCTCAGTCAGGCTGACCTAGGGCAGAGTTTGCAAGGGTCTCCCAAGATAATCTCCCTCAGGCTGACTAGGGCAGAGTTTGCAAGGGTCTCCCAAGATGAGCTCTGTTTTCATTTGGGACAATGTTAGAGAAGACGTGAGGCAAAGCCACAGGTCTCCTCCTGACAGCTACTTTACCTCAAAGACTCAGTGGGGCTGAGGCCCAGCCGAGTGGCCTCCACACCACCCACATTTTCGCTGTGAATGGTAAGCTGGGCTCGCCCACATTGGATCCTTCAGGCCCAGCTCCATGCCAGCAGCACCCAGTGCTAGAACACACTGAAAACGTGGAATTCAGTTTCCAAGCAGGAAATCCCCTTGCAAAAACCTCTAAGGCTTGATTTAACTGCAAGCATTTTTGTTTTAAAGATCTGGGGCCAAAAGATCGAATCTCAGAGGCACGGGGATGGACTAAGTGTCAACGCACACAGATGAGGTACTTTGCCCAGAGGTGAGGGATGCTCAGGTGGCTCCAATGGGCCAGGTGAGAGGCGAGAGGCTGGCAGTTTGCAAATGCGAATCAACGTGAAAACCAGGCTTTTAACTCCCTACTTCTGTGAGCCCAGGTTTCTACTGAAATTAACACAGGTGCTGTCTCCTGGGATGCACCTCCTTCTTTAGGTGACAAGGGACTTCAGGTAAAGGAAAAAGCAGTATGGAGGAAAACAACAAAAATCTGAAGGCTCCCAGCTGAATCATAGCTGAACCTGAGATGCGGAACCATTATGGCTTTCACGAGGCTTTCTATATGGTAAATTCCTCTGTTGGTGGCGGCCAGAGGCCCTGTCATCCTAGTCTCTTCCTACAGCTACAGTTCAATATAGTCCCCACAGCTTTCTGAGTGCTTCCATTCCTCTCCCTACCATCTTGGCTGTGGGAAGCCCGGCCCCCTGCCCAGCCCCAGCTCCAGTTGCTGACCTTAAAGAACTTATCAATTTTGCTAAGGTTGATTCTCTTCTTGGCATCCAGTTTGTAAATGTTACTGACATTTCCATCCATCAGGTAGAGGCCAAAGCCCATCACCTAGAACGAGAAGGGGCAGAGCACAGAACCTAGTCACACCCACTGGAAAAGCTACACACACACACACACACACACACACACACACTTCCTATAGAAACACACACTTTACCCTAGACGTCCATACTTCTTCAAATAAAGACAGAAACAGGCCTAAATTTCAACTAGAGAGTATATTATTATGGTGGTTACTTCCTGAGCTCTTCCTACGGGCCAGAGTCTGTGCCGAGGGCTTTAAAAATCACTACTCTTTATACTCACCATATGAACTTATGACCAAGCTCTTTTTATTTTTATCTTTTACAATTTTGCCAGAGAGGGCACTCGCATTCCCTGTGAGAGACAGACAGAGCGGGGAAAATAATGTATTTATTTAGTATTGCCAGAGGGCACTGGGCTTATCCGGAAGAGAGACAGAGAGAGAGAGATAAGGAGAATACGATGGGGTGTGATCATGCCGCAATCCTTTCTCCATTTCATCCCCCCTGTCAGGATTTGGGGTATGCACACACACGTGCCTGGTATGTTTTACAAGTGGCCAGGGCTGGATTCAAATTGTGGTTGGCCATGTGGGATCTGCTTCCACTAAGCTACAAGGCTGGCCCTATAATAACCTTATTCTAGAGGTGAAGAATCAGAGAAACAGAGAGCGTGGACAACTTGCCAGGGTCACACAGCTGAGCTGCAGAGACAGGATCTGAAGCAGAGGCTGAGGCAGGAACTGTGGTTCTCTCCTGCTTGAGAAAAGGACGGTACCTAACTGCGTGTCATCTCCCTGGGGTGTAGCTCATCACAACAACAATAGGGGATCAGCAGTTAGCGTAATGACTATGTCGCTGGACTCCCACATAGTCGACCGCGGTTCGTGTCCCAGACCCGGTGGCTTAAAACTCATGCTGGGCGCGTGTGCGTGCGTGCTCAAGATCCCGAGAGGAGAATGGAGGAGAAGGGATTGCGACATGGCTATCCCCCCTGGGGAGTGATTTCTCACTTTCTGTCTCTCTGTCTTTCTCTGTCTGTCTGGCGAGCGCATGCGACCTATAGCAAAAACCTCTCAAAAAAAAAAAAAAACACAAAAAAAACCAAAACAATGATAGAAGACCTTGAGGAGCCACTGGGGACTTTATTTTGGACAGAATCTCACTGTTTCCACCCTCAGGCCTCAGTAGCTGGGACTACAGGTGCACACCACTGGGTTAAGATTTAGTGATTTTATTTTAAAAACAAATCCGTGCCTGAAAATGTCCCGGAAGTGGACTGACATTCTGGACGTTTCAGTCCATTTCACAGTGCCCTAAATGCTGGCTTGCTTTTCTCCTCTTGTCGCCTGGCCAGCTGTGTGACATGGGAAAGTCACTCCTCTCTCTGTTCCTCTCTTCCCCAACCAGCACCCAGGCCACAGTGGGCTAGAAGAAATAGCTACTCCTTTGGGTGCACTTTAGGTGGCAGGATAAACGCCCGACTTTACGGGTTACAGGTGGGTGGTGCTCCCTGGTGGCACCTGTGTTCACTAATACGAACTGCAGGAAGGTCTAAAGCCTCAAGGAGCTGAGAAGGGCGGGGCTGCGAGGGAGGGGAGGTGAAAGGACTGCAGAGAGGTGAGAGGTGACAGGAAAAGAAGAGTTGAGAGTGAAGGCAGTATTTACGACAGCTTGGTGGCCTGGAATTCAGTAACTGAGTTTGTGGAAGCAGCAAGCCTGGGAAGAGCTACAGTAACCACCCAGTCCTAGCACTGGGGGTGGGAGAGGCTCCTGAACTTCGAGTGATTTCTTTTTTTTTGAGAGGTTTTTGCTGTAGAGCACGTGTGCTTGCCAGAAAGACAGAGAGAGAGAGACAGAGAGACAGAAAGCGAGAAATCACTCCCCCAGGGGGGATGGCCACGCCACAATCCCTTCTCCTCCATTCTCCTCTCAGGATCGTGAGCACGCACACACATGAGCCCGGTGCGAGTTTAAGTCACCAGGTCTGGGACTCAAACTGCAGTTGACTACATGGGAGTTAGGCGACATAGCCATTATGCTAACTGCTGGTCCTGACTTCATGGGATTTCTGATGATCCAGAGGAAGCCACGGTGAGCAAGTCACAAAGCCACACTGTCCTGCAAACCTCATCAGGATGCTGTGGTCAGGCAAAGGGGGGAACACTCATCCAGGGCTGAGATTCTTAGAATGGCAAAAGTGACAGGAAAAAAGCTGAGAAAAAAGAGGAAAACCTATAAGGAGAACTTTGAGAGGTGAGCTGCTTCTTTGGTGTGTGTTTAAAGAATCCAGAGAAGGTTATTTGCTCCAGTGCTAACTGCTGTCAAAGACAGGTTAGAAACAACCTAAGCAGTTCATAATAGACAGCTTGGGGATTTATTTATGTAACATATTTAATGGCTGCAAAATATTCCAGGTACTTTTAAGGACATGGCATAAAAACTGTGCACACTTACATATATTGCATATTTTTAAACTTGATTTCTTTCTTTCTTTTTTTTTTTTTTTAAATTTGACCAGAGAGGAACAGAGAGAGAGAGAGAAAGTGAGAAAGGAAGCTGCCAGGTTCAGGACTTGTACTGTGGTCAGCCATGTGGGAATCCAGTGTCTTCAACCACCATGCCACCTGCCAGCCCTATATATTGCATATTTTGTAAGAATATAAGCATAGGAAAAAAATCATATATCAAAATGCTATGCATGTTATCTCTGGATAGAAAAAAACTGTGAGAGATTATTTAATGCTCTCCTGTATGTTCCAGATTCTTTACAATAATAAATATGACCTCATAATTTTAGAATAAAACTTGTAAACTGATGGAACAATTGGGACCATTTGGACAAAATATAGCAAAGCCTGAAGAGTCTGCCTTGCCTTTGAGTAGATAATTTCTTCTCCACATTTGAAACTGACCAAAGGATGTGCACAGAAGCGGTGCCCTGAGGATGCTCAGTGCAGTTTAGTAACAGATACCCAACCATAGGGAACTTGCTGCGTAACCACATTCCCATCCAGTGGAATACCCAGAGCTGTCACAAATTACACCATTATGTGCAGAGATCTGTAGCCGTGTTTAAATAAAAGAAAAAACAAATATTGTTTTTAAAAAAGGATTTTAAGGAAATAGAAAAAGAGACAGAGGAAAAACAGGGAGCCCAAACACTTGGCTTGAGCTCATTAGGGACCCCCACCCAGCCTGCTGTGGGGAGGGAAAGGATGCTCTGATCTTTAAAAACCAACACCTGGTTCCTGTGATCCCTAAAATAGAACAGACAGAAGGAGCACAGGGAGGACCAAGCCGCTCAGCTTGAGCTGGTCAGGGACTCCCACCCAGTCTGCTGTTGGGGAGGAGGGCCAGCTCCGGCACACGTAGCATGAAGGAGTCGACCACCTTACGTTCTACTTATCCAGCTCAACCTCCAGTCATGTTGGAGGCAGAAAGATTTGGTTAAACAGGAACCAAACACCTGAAGACAGGAGACCCTAGAGGAATTCATTCCCTACAACCCCTCTAGCAGTAAAAGGAGAGAAACTCCCTTCAGAAAACTTGAACCCAAAACTCCTGCTGTGGATTCCATGCTCCTGTTGACAGTAGAGGAAGGAAACTGGCCCAGAGCTAATGCATACCTTAGGAAGGCCATGAGCACACAGCTACAGAAACATACTCCATAGAAGCAGGAAGAAGTGAGTATCTCACCAGACGACTAAAAATCAAAGCAGAGCTTCAAGAAATAGGAGAAAATCAGGGAATACCTCCACCTCAAGGGAAAATTATAACTCCTCACCAACAATAGATAAGACAAGAGATGACAGAAATGTCAGAAAAAAAAAATTTCAGAGTATTCATTGTAACAAAACTCAGGGAGATGCAGCAGAAGATAGACAACCAATGCCAGGAGATGAGAAAATCTTTCCATGACTAGAAGGAGGAATTCCATAAAGAAATAGACACTGAAAAAAGAATCAAACAGAACTTCTGGTGATAAAGAGTACGATGCAGGAAATCAAAACCCTTCTCAAAAGTATCAATGCCAGATTAGACCACACAGAAGAAAGAATCGTTAATCTTGAAGATAAAACCTGATTTAGTCCAAGCAAGCAAAAAGAACTGAAAAATAACCCTTAAAAATCAGGACAACCTATGGAAAATCCTAGACACCATTAAACCACTGATTAGCCGCATAATAGGTATCCCAGAAGATATGGGGAAAGGAATAAAAAAATCTTTCATAACATATTAGTTGAAAAACTTTCAAAATTTAGAGAGGTATGTGGGCAACCAAATCCAGGAAATGCAAATGTCACCAAACAGATAACAACGTAAGAAGCTCCTCTCCAAGCCACATCACATCCACATTGGTAAAAATCAAAGACCAATATTCTGAAAGATGGCAAGAGAGAAATGCCAAGTTACTTACAAAGTTCACCCCTTAAGATGGACATCAGATCTCTCAAATGAAACAATGCAGGCAAGGAAAACATGGAAAGACATACTTAAAACTTTTAAAGAAAAGCAATTTTAGCCAAGAATACTACACCAGATAAGATAACCCTTCAAATGGGAAGGAGAAATAAAATCACTCCCAGATAAACAAATGCTGAAAGAATTCACCAAAATGCAACCGGCTCTTTGGGAAAAACTAAAGGGACAAGTACACCAGGAAAGCTAAAGGGAGGTAAATAGAAATAGAAGAACACAAAACAACAAGAAAAAAGGAGAAGTCCGCACACACTGATAATATCATTGAATGCTGGGATTAAATTTCCAACAAAAAGACTGAAAATGCAGATTCAACTAACTTACACACAAGCAGGTTTAAGTACAATTTATTATAATCATTACTTATTGTATAAAACTAGATAAAAGAGAGAAATTCTAAAAGGATACAAGTAGCTGAGTCTTTCTCTGAAGTGAATTTAAAGAAGGCTAAAATCAAGAACTTTGTAAAGTCTATATAAATCACCAAATTACTGACCTTACCATGTCTTCACTTTTAAAAATCTCTTTCTAATTTTGTTTAGTTTTTTGCTTTTTGAGGACTTATTATTCACAGTATAGTACTACAAGAACTCACAGTAATTGAGTAAACTTTTTTTTCCTGTCTCTTCCTACTGAGCAATTGTTGTGTACAATTTTATTTATCTTTAACTGGACTAATGATACCACAGATTTTTTTCAGAATATAAACTCTTATGTCCCAGTCTTCTTCATGGAACTTACACATTCTTCTTTCATTGGATATATTATCTTTGTTTAAAAGACTCCACCTTCATTAATTTATGGGACTTTTGGTTTTCTCATTTTTAATCAATTTGTTTTCTCTTTAGAATTGTATTTCACAGTAAAGAATGCCATGGGCAGGGGACCAGCAGATGGCACAATGGTTATGTCGCTGGACTCCCATGTAGTCGACCGTGACTTGAATCCCGAAACCAGAGGCTTAACCTCACACTGGGTGTGTATGTGTGCATGCCCAAAATCCTTAGAGAAGAATGGAGAAGAAGGGATTGTGGCATGGCCATCCTCCCATGGAGGTAATTTCTCGCTTTTCCTCTCTCTGCCTCTCTCTGTCTCTCTGGCAACTTCATGTGCCCTATATAAAAAATCTCTCTTAAAAAAAAATGCCATAGACAATTCAGAACATAATTTCAATATACCCAGTGAAGCAAGTTTTGAATGTTGCAATATAAGATTAAGTGCTGAAGGTGGTAAATATGTTTATATCCTCAATTTGTTTATTAGACACTGTATACATGCTTTTAATGACCATTCTGTACCCTACAAAGACATGTCATAATTATATATTATAAATGACCAAAACCCAAAACAAAAGAAAACAAAAAAATTATTTTATGATAGAAGCAGGTCAAAGTGCAAGTCCAGCCCCGCGGTGTGGCCATGGGGCCTTTACCTTGAGAAGCATGTGTTTCTCGCTGGGGGTCAGGTACATCTTGTTCTCATAGTAATCCACGCAGATGTTGACAATGTCAGCCAGCAGCTCCTCGTAGCCGGGGATCACTTCCAGTTGCTGGTGGAGACACTAAAGAGCAGCGCCCCCCCTTGGTTAGGCCGGGCACGCGTCTTCCTGTGCCCTGCTCTCACCTGCACCAGGGCAGCAGGCCCACGGTCAGGCAGCGACGGAGCCCTTGACCTGCTGACGCACAGTCCAGGTTGGGGGGAGCCTGTACACCAGCCTGCACTCGATGCCTGGCAACTCCCATCAATACCCCCATGGTGCTTGTCAGGGCTCCTGGACACCTCTCAGGACAGGGAACTCACCCCCTGGGGCCCTCCATTTTTATTCCCTGGCAGCTCTAATGGTTAGAGAGTACGTTCTTGGGTGGAGCTGAAAAGCAGCTGAGCCTCACAGCAACTGTCCTGCAGTGATTCCACTTCACGTTTTGAGGCTGTGGAATCATCTATGACGTCTCTGCAGACAAATGCCAGGAATGACCCACTTGGGGAGGCGAGACCGTGTGACAAGTTATATTATGTTGGGCAGAATGGGGAAGTGAGAGCTGGGTGGAGGTGCAACATGGTGGCCTTAATGATAGCCATGTCTTCTCATGCCCTTACCATCTGTCAGGCTCTGAATGCCAGCCTTATATGTAGTATCTCATTTATCTGTCACGACAGTCCTGCGTGATGAATTCTCAGAATATTCTCAAACTAAGAGCCTCGTTTGAAAGATGAGGAAACTGAGGCTTGGATTTTGTCCAAGGTCTCACAATGAGTCGACAACAGTCTGGGAATAGAAAACATGGCGTCTAACTCCCGACCCCACTCTCTCAATGTCCACCTGCGCCGATGCAGGGCAGAGCACTGGTGAGGAGATTTTCAGAGAACAGACACAAGAGAGGGTAAAAGGACCATCTTCTGCGAGGGGACCTGAGGAGTCTATTCTCACCTGGGTGATCCTGTTGTGGTTGGCCAGGAACATGGACAGGTTCTGTGACTCCTGGATGGACTGAGGGTCCGCCATCTTCCTCAGGAACTGGGCTGCCCTGAAATGCAGAGAGTGGGTGTTGCAGAGAGGAACATCTCAGGCTGACCTGCCTAAACCCATGCCTCATGGACTTCTATGCCCTCTTATCCTGGAGGGACATTGTCCCCCAGGGTGAAAAGCTCTGAATGCACAGCCAGCTAGCATCCAAGGAGAGTGTGTACTGGGGGCTTTCCTGGGGGACTGTTTACATCTTGCAATGAGGATAACCCTGCATGAAAAGACACAATGCACTGACCACCTCTGACCTCTCAGAAACTTGGAGGAGCTCTAGCGCCCCACCCACAGGCAGGAGTGGCAAGACGGGGAGTGAAGTGGGCCTTCTGTTCTTGCTGTGAGCCCCAATGATGCTGCACTGTCACTATGGACAAGCAGCACAGGCAGGATGCTTCATTTTTGCTGTGTGTTCAGCTATTTATAGGAAAATCCTAGTGTTTCCAAAGCAAAGCACTGTGTGGAAACAGGTGTATCAGGTAAAGGGATGACGGGCCCAAAGTACACAAGCAGGACTTCAAGGCAGGAAACCAAGCTGCCCATATGTCCCAGCCTAGCTGGCAGAGGAGAGCCTTTGTCACAAGCTGGACAAACAGAGACAAGACCCCCATCTTCCTCATGAGCCTAGCCAGTCCCCAGCAGGTCTGCAGAGGATGTTGGCGATGGCCATGATGGAAGCAGTTGGTCATAACTGGGGAGAATTTGGGAGACGTTATACTATGAGTCGTCTATACAATCTTTATGAAGTTGCCATTCCTGGGTAATCTGTGAGATATGCAAGCACCCCAGGCTTCATGGTTGACTCGGGCGGATAAAACAGAATCAGCTTTCTCTGATTTTTCTAATAGTAGTTACCTTAGCGTCTCAGGAGGAAATAGGTTGAAGAGAGGGGCTCACATTATCACTGACATGGAAAATACTTCCCAAGAGATGCACCTAGATGCTTCAGAGCTCATCGGAGCCTCAACCAACCGAAAGGATGCCTGTTGCTTTTGGCTGCCCTCCCCCGCTTTTGGGCAACTGTATCCATCTTGATTTCTGGAGAAGTGACTCCTCCCCAACTCGCTGTCCTTCTTTCTTGTTAGTCGACATGATCCCCAACTCCAAGAAGCAGCACTGACTAGTGAGAGGATCCCCACCCCTCAGGATGGTGACTGATCAGTGCAGGACTCAGCTGGATCGAAGGCAATCCTTCCAGGACTTGTGCAAAACTATTTGGAAGGAGTGTCCTGCCTTAAAGCTGGGGTTCCTTAGAAGCTAGAGAGCAGTGGAAAGCTGCCAGAGGCCACCAGAGGGCACGAGCCTGTCTGAGAGGCCAGAGGCTACAGGAGAAACTCAAGCTCAGAGGTGGAGAGACCTGGGCTACCAGCATCCCTGGGCACCTGCGTGCAGGTATGCCTGGACTTCTCAGTTAGGTGAATAATTCATGTCCTTTTACTAAGGCCATTTGAGCTGGCTTTCTGATTTCTTCAGGAAATGACTAATGTCATCATTTTGTGATTATCTTACTAGTCCCCCAAGGGCAACAGAAAACACTGCTGCTCTATAGGTGGGAAAATGAGAATTTAGAGACACAAAACCCTGCAAAGATCAAGTCCTCCAAAGACCCTGCACCATATTACTCAAAGCATACCACAACAGGCCCAGCCCCGCTGTGTCTGGGGATGGCTAGTGTGGTACAGGGGATGGACCTGTTAGGACTCTGCCTTTCCTCCATTAGTCTGGCTATACAGGAAGAGGGCCTGGCTACGGGAAGCAGGGGGCAGGGGGCAGGTGCTCTGACCTCTTGTAGGCAGAGTGGTCGTTCTTGACACTGCACTTCATGTTCTTCAGCTCATCCAAGACAGCGAACATGTTGATGAACTTGCCCAACGTCAAGAGGTAGGCCTCGGAGACAAAGTCCTTCCTCCGCTCGGCATGGCACAGCCGTTTGACCTCACTGCAGAACCGCTCGATGGCTTTGCGCTGGAGGCAGAGGGGCAGCAAGTAAGGACAGGGCAGCCCAATGGGGGCTGTAGGGGGTGGCAGGGTCGAGACTCCCCTGGAGCCCTAATCAGAGCCCAGACATTCACAGAAAGGCAAATCTGTCAGGGAGTCTTTCTCAGCAGAGTCTTTATATCCAGAGCTAGTGTCTAGAGGGTAGCCTGGAAACTGCCCTAAACCAATGAACTCATTCAACACGCACTGGCTGAGAAGCATTAGGTATTAATTGTGTATCCCCAGCACCTAGGACAGTGCCAAGTACATTCGGAGGTAGAAACAGAGAGAAGAGAGGCTCATTCGTCCCATAACTATTTACTGAGCATCTACCCCATGCCAGGTGTTATTGTAGGCACTGGGGCAGAGCCCAGAACCAAACAGAAAAACAAACTGCCCTAAGGAGCCTATAGTCCTGTCAGAGGAGACAGTGAACAAAATAAATAAATCCTATCAAAATGCAATCTGTGCTATGGAGAAAAATAAAATAGCGGAGAGGGGTGAGAAGGACTCAGAAGAGCTGTCACTTTAAGGAGGAAAATGAGAAAAATATCATCAAGCAGTGACTTTTGAAAGAGTCTGAAAGAGAAGACTCAGGGATAACTGAGGAAGTGGAACAGGCAATGTGAAGGCCCTGAAGCATGTTGGAACGATGGGCAGGAAGTCAGGATTGACGCTCCGGAAGTGCAGGGGAGGAGCCAGAGACAGAATCGGGGAGGCTAGAGTCCCTGACCCTACTGCAGGCCCCCAAGCTTTGACACTGAGCTAGTCAGGGACACATGGTTGGTTCTAAAGCAGAGTATCATGGTATGAATCATATTTTGAAAGGGTCACAGTGGCTGCTGTGGCAAGAACGAACTGCAGGGGGCAGGGACAGAAGCGCGTTTCAAGGTGAAGTTACCATAGGCCCCAGCAATTCCACTCCTAGGTGACTGCCCAGAAGAAATGAAGACCTATGTCCACACAGAAACTTGTACACACCAGTGTTCCAGCCCCCAAATGGATACCACCTAAATGTCCGTCACCTAATGAATGGATAAAGAGTAATGTATCTACACAATGGAATAGCAGTCACGCATAAAAAGGAATAAATTCTGACACATGCTACAGCATGGATGACCCTTGAAAACATTAGACTAACTAGAAAAAGCCAGACATATGCTATGACAAGACATGTGGGCTGAGCTTGCTATGGTCTGAGTGACCCCCTAGAATTCATGTGTGTGATCTTGGCTGTATTGGGAAGGTATATGGAAAAAATGTAATTCCTTCCTGATGTTAAAAGGTGGGGCCTTGGGCAGTGCTTAGATGATTAGGGTGGGGCCCTTATCATTAACTCCTTGCTGGTTTTACAAGGATAAGGAGAGAGGCAGGAGAGGCATCGCAGTTGGCATAATGGCTATGTTGCTGGACTCCCATGTAGTGGAGAAGCAGTTTATAGTCCCAGATCCGGTGGCTTAAACTCATGCCAGGCGCCCAAGATCCCAAGAGGAGAATGGAGAAGGGATTGTGGTGTGACCATCCCCCCGGGGAGTAATTTCTCACTTTCTGTCTCTCTGTCTTTCTGCGCCCTATAGCAAAAACCTCTCCAAAAACAAAATAAAACAAAACAAAAAACCACCAAAAAAGAAAGGAGAGAGACAAGAGTGAATAGAGATGTGTTTTTGTTCTCTAATGACATGACACCCCACGTGACCTCAGGACCCCATCACCAGGAAAACCACTATTAAATGTGGCCCCTGGCCCTCGGACATCCAAACCATGAGCTGAATAAACCACTGTTTTCTTAAATGACCCAATCTAAGGTATTTTCTGTTGTTAGTAAAGGAATGGACTAGAACAGAACTCATCTACTATTGTATGGTTCTGTTTATACAAAACGTCCAGAATAAGCAAATCCATAGAGACAGTAACCAGATTGGTGGTCGTCTGGGCTGGGAGGAGGAGGATGTTATAACATGATGGCTAAAGAGTATGGGGTTTCGCTTTGGGGTGATAAAAACTTACTAAAATTGATTGTAGTGATGGGTGCCCCACTCTCTGCATATACTAAGAAGTGGCAAATCGTAAGGTATATGAATTATAGCTCAATGAAGACACAATTACAAAAAAGGGGCAGGCAATTAACAACAACCAAAAGAGGATGCTTGGTAATCCCAAGAGAGCCAGAGAGCTGATCAAGAGAGGAGTAGAAGGAACAGGAGGAGAGAAATGACCCTTAGATGTGAGCATCCCTCCATTTTGATGGGCCAAGATGCCCTACTGGCTAGTCATTCCTCTTTGGCAATGACCAGACTAAGTCACACTCTCTCCTTCCAGAGTCCAAGTCCAGTGAAACTTCCTGCAGTTGGTGGCGTTCCATGTCTGCCTGTCCCACACCACAGCCACGAGCACTTGAAAAATTCAGTTGAGAAACTGAATTTTTAATTTTACTTAATTTTAGTTCATATAAATAGCCATAGTGGCTAATGGCTAGAGGACTGGACAGCAGAGTTTTAAATTACTCCAGATCCTCCATTCTAAAAACAGCTTCTGCCAGTGGGTGCTCAGTTTAGCACTTCATCTGCTTCTGGATAACCCTTCTCTCCTGGATCTGCCTTCCCAAAGAGACAGTTAGGTTCCTAGAAAGCCAGGCCATGGTGCTAACAATAGTAGCTGGGACTTGGTCCTCTCCAAACAGACCTCCTCTATCCTCACCACAGACCTGGGAAGTAGGCACATGTCCACGGGGAGAGACTTGTAGATGTCAGAGAGGCTAAATAACTCACAGGCACACAGTGAGAGCCTGGCAGAGCCGGGGCTGGACTTGCGGGTCTCTGCCTCTGAAGGCAGCACCTCTCATCCACAGAAGCACACATAGTCCTGTCTCCTGTTCTCAGGGTGTCAGCGCAGTGCTGGGCATAGGGCAGATGTAAGCCAGGGCTTGGGAGTCTATTTGTGAAGCTCTACTTTTTACAGCAGAACACGTGGAGGCCGCAGAGTGTATGGCCTGGTCTTCAAGTGTTCAACCTGCCCTCGGCGGCAGTTTCTGACATAACCGTAACAATAGACCTGCTTCCATTACGCTTCCTTGGTCATCTCTGTTCAACCCATGTGACTCCTCATGCTCACTTGTGCAAGCCCTGTGTCTCTCTTCCTCATTCGAAGGGTCTCCCTTCCTGGCCTCACAGCCAGACTCCCTGCCACCACGCTGCTCCCTGCTCCCCATCCTTTCTGCACCCACAGCTCCCATCCATTCAGCCCCCCTTGCAGCAGCCAGAGTGCTACTGTAAAACCTGAATCAGATCATATGACTCTAAAAGCCTCCAGTGGCTTCGCAGAGGGCTTTAATAGATCCACATCCTCTTCTCTTCCTATGGGGCCAGGTGACTGTCTGCCCCTCTGATCGCACCTTCATGCTCCCTTCTCCCTGCACTGCAGCCTTTCTGGCCTGGTCTATTTTCTTAAACGTGTCGGGCTCCCACAGGCCTCAGGGCCCTGGACTTTGCAGCACCTCTTTCCAGCCCAATCACCACATGCCAGCCTGTCTCATACAGATCTCTGTTCATATGCCCTCCTCAGAGGTCACCCCACAGTGAAACCCACACCACAGATGTTTCTACCACGCAGAATTCTGAAAATTTATTTTTCTCACAGTACGCACAACGATGGTGCATTATTTATTGTTTGTTTTCCCCGACACCCAACACACACCCCCATGGACGCACAGGTACAATAAAGGAGACCAGGGCAGGGTACCTGAAAGTACATGAACTTCATGAGTTTGGTGACCTCCGGCTCCAGCACCTCCACCGTCTTCTCATAGATCTCCACTCGGTTGGGCTGCTCGTTACATTTCACCTGCGATGGGGAGGGTGGTGGAGGTGGGGTTTCACATCCTGGTTTGCCCAGGCAGTTCTCTCCTGTTGTTTTATCACAGGGCCCCTTTCCACTCTGCGACATACCCTATTTTGGATGACAGCTGATATGGACACGCTAGAGAGAGGAGGCTGGGATGGCCCCTGTCTGACCAGTCTAGGAGGGAGCAGAGTGCTTTCTAGATACTTGCTGTGGAAAAGAAACCAGTCGGTCCCAAGAACAGACCCCTCCCCTTTTTCCCTCTGTCCTGTGTCCAGGAGCTGTTCCCACGTCTTTGCTGATCTTCAAGGTCTCCCTCCTTCATCCTTTTCCATATCTCTGGCCTCGTGGGGCCCAGTCTGATTCTAAGTAGAGAGGCATTTCCTATCTGTTGCTCCGGACATACATGGGACAAAGCCCTAACACACTCAGGCAAATGATGGCCCATGTAAGAGGTGCCCATCATGAAACATTTTCCCCGTCTGCTGGTTTTCCACCAATATGCCCATTGAAATCACATGGCGGATTTCGCACAACATGCTAACCAAGACTGTTAACAGGTCAGCCAAACCCAAAGAATGAACAAAGGTAAGGACAAGGATGATCTTTACACTGCTCAGACATTCTTAAATGGTAGGATTGCACTAAGCACCCTTCAGTCGACAGTTAAGGAGATAAAATATGATACAATCATACAATATCATTACGAAATGTTAGAAGGAATGTAATATTGATAGATCTATGTGAACTGAGCCGAGCAGGTAGCCGCTATTAACTGGCAGAAAAAAAAAAAGTTACAGAACAATACATATAATTTGGTCTCATTTTTGTTTGTCAAAACAAAGCAAAGAGTGAGAGAAAGAGAATGTGTGTGTGTGTGTGTGTGTGTGTGTGTGTGTATGTTCATGTATTAGGCCACTGGGAAAGTCATGATGTATTTTTCTACACAAAAATGTGTCATGACTTCTCTACTGACCCCATATAATACAGGCAGAGAAAATGAGAAATCTCTAGGGTCTAGGATTAGAAGGAAATAGCATCTATTTACACAATTGTAGTTTGTCAATTTTGTTCCAATGCAACATATTATGTATATGATGCTGATGATGGTAATAAAAATATCTGCATGTGCCAAGATGGAAAAAAAAAGTCAGTAATAAGGAATTGAGTGAAAAAGAAGGCAAGTGGCAGGATGACATTAATAAGGAACAACACACTTTTACACATGACAATTATTTACAGACTAATATTCATGTCAGAATAAAGACCCAGAAGAACATGAAGTCAAGTATTCACCATGACTATCCTATGGTAGGAGGTAGCAGAGTGGTAAGAAGCCTCCAAAGGGTTCCCAGCAGTCCCTCAAATAATCCTCACTACAGGTGTGGGTGGTCGAGGTGAGGAGGTGGGAATGCCCTGCTTTTTACTTTATACTCTTCCACAATGGTTCACATATACTGCTTTTGAACGAATACATAGAACAAATTTGTTTTTGAGTCCTGAGCATGAGTCCTTGTCATCAGTTTTATGGGAAGCTCTTTGACTGTCCTCACAATTTGGATAAGAGGCCCTACACTGCTTTACTCCCTGCCCCCTGAAAAAGCTCAGCTCTCTGGTTTGGGCATGGGGGAGGGGGATAAAGAGACACACAGCAAGGACAGTCTCACCTGGGGGATGGCGCGGGAACAGCTGCGCCAGGTGTACAGCATGACCGCATACTCATGTCCTTCCTCCAGCATTTCATTCTGAAACAGCAAAACACTATCAGCCAGCAGAAACTATGGCATCCTCACAAGCTTCCCAACAGCTCCCAAATCCTTACTCAGCGTGGCATGTGGAACAGCACCGGCATCACCCGGGGGACTTACTAGAAATGCAGAATCTCAGGCCCCTTCCTGGCCTATGGAATGAGAATCTGCATTTCAACAAAATTCCCAGATAATGTTCATGCACAGTAAGTTCAAGAAGACCCAACCTAAATCATCCTTCTCAGATAGCCCAGGGCTCTATGAGTAGGCCACATTTTTTAACAGATGGCCACCTTAAAAAGAATGAGGCAAATTATGTGTTCCCAAAGCAAAGGTGTCCCAGATATAATGCTAGCAAGAAAATCAGCAAGTAAGCAAAACAGTAATGTACATATATAGGTTAAGAAACAAAGCAAATAGTACTAATTATCTGCATATTATTGTACATTGAGAAAAACAAATTTAGTAAACTATGTACCAAGCTGAGAACTGTAAACTTTCTGTGGGGCGAGGTTACTTTTTTTATTACAATTCACATTATACAGTACTACAGTGCTCACATTTATATAGATGCCCACGTTACAATTTCATGAACAGGGAAACGATTAATATCTAATTTTTAAAAATAATGAGAACAGATGGCAAAATCAACAACAGCATGAAAAATGAACCTGAAAAATACAATGATGACTCATCCCACTGAGTCAGTGCTCTTGTGGAAAGAGCCCTAAACCCAAGGTCCAAATACCTGGGCTCATAGTCCAGCTTCATCACTTGGCCCTTCGGTCTCTTGTAAATCACTTGTCCTAAAATTCTCATTTAGTCATCCATAAAGTGATCACGACAATAACGTCTTACAGAATTTAATGATAATGAAATGGAATACACACTCTCTCCCTCTGATCCATAAAAGGAGTTAGGAAAATAGTCTGGCAGTGCCACAAAATGTGAACCAGAGTTAACATCTGACCTAACAATGACATTCCTAGGTGTATACCTAAGAAACTAAAAACATATACAGAAACTTGCATGGCTCAAGATTTATATGAAACATAAATGTTTATAGCAACATCACTTGTAATAGCTAAAAAGTGGGAAGAACCCAAGCACTCATCAACTAATGAATGGTAAGTACAATTATGGCATATCCATACAATGGAATTATTATTATTATTTTTTGGAGAGGTTTTTGCTATAGGGTGTGTGCGCTCGCCAGAAAGACAGAGAGAGACAGAGAGACAGAAAGTGAGAAATCACCCCTCAGGGGGGATGGCTACGCCACAATCCCTTCTCCTCTATTCTCCTCTAAGGATCTTGGGCACATATACACATGTGCCTGGCATGAGTTTAAGCCACCGAGTCCAGGACTCAAACCACAGTTGACTACATGGGCGTCCAGTGACACAGCCATTACACCAACTGTTAGTCCCCATAAAATGGAATATTATCCATCTATGAAAAGTAATAAAGTGCTCTTGCCTGCACTAAGTGAAAGAAATAAGTCATAAAAGGCCACATTTTATAGGATTCATTTAGGTGAAATGTCCAGAATAGACAAATCCTTAGTGACAGAAAATATATGAATAATTACCAGGAGTCTGGGAGGACAGAAGAACTAGGAGGGGGAATTGCTAACTAGTCAAGTGATGGAAATTAGATAGTGCTGATGCTGGTACAACATTATGAGTATGCCCCAAATCAATAAGTTACATAATTTGAATGGCTTATGTTAGAGAAAGGGTACCTCAAAAATAACAGTAAGAAAAGAGACTTATTAAACCATTTCTCCTTATAAATATTTTTATCTATATAAAATGAAGGTTTATTTATTTACTTAAAAATCACATTCTTATCTATTTCTTTTTTATAAAAAAATTAACATTTATCTATCTATCTATCTATCTATCTATCTATCTATCTATCTATCTATCTCTATCTATCTAATTTGACCAGAAAGGGACAGAGTGAGAGAGAGAGATAGGGAAAGTGAGAAAGCAAGCTGCCAGGTCCAGGACTCAAACTATGGCTGGCTATGTGGGAGTCCAGCACCCTTAAACACCATACCACCTGCTGGCCTCCATTCACATCTACTTCATAATCTCTTGTTAGGACAAGTTCGGATTTAATTTGGATTTTATAACCTATTGCTGTTTCTACAGCAAATGTCATTGACAAGTCACACTTACAATTTTTTAAATTAGAGAACTTTCAAAATCAGTAACATATTGTTCTCGAAACCAGCGAGAGAGAAGATCAAGCCCATGGGTCTCCTGCTGTCATCTATCTCAGAACACATGTCAAAAAGGGGAAGTGACAGTAATGTAAGGAACATGTGTCTACTTTTAGCACCAAACCAACCGCCTACCAGTAGGTACGATTCCAACTCATGCATTCAGCGAGTGTTTTCCTCGTTGCTCACGAGTCTCAGGCTGTGTGTGCTGGAAACAGGGCAGGGAACAAGGATGTGGATTCCGTCCTATGGACAGTTCGGCTGAGCATCAACCAGATTTGTTGTCTAGAATACAGATGTCAGGATGGTTCGGTGGAGACAGCCTTGGGCAGGGCTTTAGGAGACTTGAGTTCTCGTCCTGGCTCTTCTTGGGTCCATCTTTTAACTTGTAAATGCCATGGTTTCCATATTAGGAAGTAAAGAGTTGGCCTAAAACCCTGGTTCTTATGATGCCCAGGCCAGGCTCTAGACCAATTAAATATCTTGCCCTGCAAGTAGAGTCCAGGAATTGGTATTTTTTAGTGATGCCTAGGTGATTCCTTGTGCAGCCCAAGTTGGCAATGATAAGACTACATCTCACTATGGTCCTTGACATTGCTGAGCTTCTGTAAGTGCAGGACTTAAACTGTGAGTCCAGTGCAGATTTCATGGTTGGCAATGACTAACTGTACCTTTCAGCACTTACTCAGTCTCATCATAGTCCCAGCAAAGAACCCTCAACTCTTCATAGAGTCTGCACTTACGGGATTTATGTACTTTTCCCTTCTCCTTTTTCCTCTGGTTATTCTGCCCTTTGAGGGATTCACCTGGTCCAAGAATGAGTAGCAAAATTACAAAAAGATGAGCATAGAACCGTGGACTGAAGTGAGATTTTGGTGTTATCCATGAATGTCAAGAGTACCCTTTTTTAAAAGTTTTTATTTTCTTTCTTTCTTTCAAGGCAGGGAGATGGGTATGTCTTGCCATGCCTAAATTCTCACCCCAGCTTCAAACCCAGTCAAAATCACAGGTTCATAAGGGTGTGTGATTCTGAACCTGGGCCTCGTATGTAATTCCATCAGTGTCCATAGCCACACTGCTACTTGTGCCACTGCGGCCAGGCCTATACCCTACTCTTGGCTAACATCTAAACCATTTGAATATTGTGCCTGTGTAGGCAGGATAATGGTCCTCTCAAAACATCAGCAGCCTCCTGGCCAGAACCTGTGACTATGTTACCTCATACACTGCAGATGTGATCAGGTTAAAAACCTTGAGATAAGGCGGTTACCTTGGGTTACCCTGGTGAGCCCGATGTAATCACAAGGGTCTTCACACGTGAAAGAGGGAGGTCTGAGAGTCAGAGGAGGTGTGAGGATGGAAGCAGAGGCCAGAGTGATGTGACAGCAGGCTGAAAGCCACAAGCCAGAAATGCTACCTGCCTCTAGAAGGTGGAGAAAGCAAGGAAAGAGACACTCCCCTGGGTCCCCTAGAGAGAAAAGCAGTCCTGCCAGTACCTAGACTTTAACCCCTTATGCCCCTTGTCAGACTCCTGACCTAAAAATCTATAAGCAAATAAAGTTGTGTTGTTTTAAGCCACTAATCTGTGATAATCTGGTACAACAGCAATAGAAATGAACAGTCACCCTCCAAACCAGCCTTCCTTCCAATGGCCCTTCGGGTGGCGCTGACCTGTTATTTCTGGGAAGCCCAATTGTTAAGTCAGCTGGAGCTGACCTCAGGCTCTCTCATCCCATATTTCTGCAGCCAGCCCTGTGGGCCATCACTCTCACTCAGCCTTTCATGCCTCCAGGATAGATAACTTTAATTATTGTGATCAATTTATTGCTTTACTTGATCTTCCTTATAAAACATTCTATAAATAACTAACAAATAAAATATATCCTCCAAGCAGAGCTGTTCAAGTTTCTCCTATGGGTGAAAATTTTGTTTGCTTTCGATTTTTTTTTTTTTTAAATTTAAAGCCCACCATTATGAGGTAAATTGTGCCCCCTCTCAAATTCATACATGGAGATCCTAACTCCCGGTACCTCGAATAGGACTGAATTTGAAGATAGGGCCTTGAAGGAGGGAATTAAGTTAAGAAGAGGCCATTAGGGTGGGTGATAATCTATCCTGACTGACATCCTTAGAGGATGAGGACATTTGGACACACAAGAGACACCAGACATGCCTGCACACAGAGAGCAGGCCAGGTGAGGACACAGCAAGAAGCAGCTATATGCAAGCCAATGACAGACGTCTCAGAAGAAACCAAACCTACAGACCCTTTGATCCTGAACATTTACCCCCGGAACCACAGGGAAATAAGTGTCCGTTGCTTAAGCGATCCGTCTGTGTCTTTTGTTATGGTTGCCCAAGCTGACTAATACAGCCTCTATGCCCTGACCCTTACCTCGTTTTCCATAAAAACCAGT